ATGGTGGTTCATCCATCTATCACACAATCTGTTTTCTGTACAAAGGAAATGGAGGCCTGTAACTTGGGCAAAGCAAAGCACAGTGTAGTGAACTGAAAAGAAAAGTAATAAAACAGAAGCCAGGTGTTCTGTGATAAGTGCTGCTGTATACGCATCTGTGGTTTTCTCAGAAAAAAGATCATTGCAAACAAATGTCTCCAATATTCAGGAACAAATACTATCCTTAGATAAGAAGCCCATTAACAACAACAAACGTGGCAATAATTCTAAATGGGGATTGCTTTTGGCAAGGTAACTTAAAACCCTCCAAATGTTTCAGATAACAGCTGCCATAATTCTTTGTGGTTGGCCATGTTGATTGCATTAGATGGAGGTTACAATTGAGAACAAGTGAAGGGTATTGTTACACTGCTTATCCCTGGCATGTGGGAAAGGAGGGGATTTTATTCTATTTTATCTGAAATTTACATTACTGCCCGATTCACACAAATATGAAAGTCATAGTCTAAGTTAGAAGTCTGGGTCCCATCAACTGGCAAGGCCTTAAGACAGCCATCTGAACTATACTTATCCTATTAGAACAGAGGTGTCAAACTTGCGGCCCGGATGCGTCATGTGCTGGCCACGCCCACCTCATTTAGCAAAGGGGGGAAAGTCACAATATGTCACGTGACAATGTTACACCATGAGTTTGACACTCCTATATTAAAGCATCTGGAATATAGTCAGAAAAAGTAGATCTGAGCCTAACTCAGTCCTATGCCATGGAGTGTGCGGGCTCTGTGGGGGATAATCAGCCCCTTAACCAGCTCTGAAAACTCTTTGGAGCCAGGACAGCAAAGTAGTAGCCTTACATGAGCACTTAAAAGTGCATTCAGGACTGCATTGCTGCAGTCTAGCCATGCTGCCATTATGTACTCCCATCTCAAAATATTTGTATTCATGAATAATGCAGTTTAAGTCCACCCAACAGCAATCTGCGATGGAATCACAGCAATAGCACTTAGATGTATATACTGCCCCAGAGTGCTTTACAGCCCCCACTGGACAGTTTACAACGTCAGCGTCTTGCCCCCAACAATTTGGGTTCTCATTTTACCGACCTCAGAAAGATGGAAGGCTGAGTCAACCTTGAGCCCCTTCATGACTGAATTCCAGGCTGTGGACAGATTTGCCTGCAATACTGCATTCTAACCACTGAACCTGACACAGTGGTTAGAATGCAGTATATATATGATAGTATCATCACACAAATGCTGCCATGATGTACTCACATGTGCTCTCATCTCAACATATGATGCAGATATACGAGTCATGACATTTGCATAAGGACCTGGTCATACATCCCAACCTCTGGCAGTTTGTATGTCTGTGAATCTACCCTCTTGAATTTTGACTGCTGTTTCTATGTTTAATAAATATGCCACTGATTGATTAGACCCCCCTATACCATTTTTGTCGAGACCAGACTTGATGGAGGTCTTAATAGAGGTTATGGTGTATACATTTCACTCATCTCTCCTAAGAATTCATCTCCATGAGTTGCAGAAAGCATGACATGGCAGAGCCCTTGCTAGTGTTCGATTCCACATGATCCTCCATATATAAAAAATATATTGCCCAAACTTGTTTTCTTCCCTGAAATGCTTATTTAAAAAAAATAAAAACCTTCCAGAGCACAATTTGAATGAGAAAACACTTAAGCATGTGATCCTTTAGCTTGAAGTGACCAGAATCCAAGGGCAGTACTATTTTATGCTGCTTGGCTCTAAGAAGCTAAGCCAGAGAATAATATAGATGCTGAAGGATGAAGGAGCCTTCTATTATATGTCCCAATGCCAACCTGGGTATTGCCATCACTGGGAAGGCAGCCTGGGTGGAATCCTCATTCCAGATCTCTGTATGCCACTCAAAGGAGGAGTATTCATGTCTCCTCTGATCCCAGCTAATGTCAATTCAACGAGTGGGAACAATACAGTTAGACTAGGGCCCCATTCTTCCTTTATTACTACTTCCGGAACTCTTGAAACAGTTTAGCTTTTCAGTGAAAAGTATGCAGGCCTGCAGTGGGGACAACTGAAATACTACAATTTCCTTTTCCCTTCTCAATTTCTTCAGGTTTTCATTTAAGAATGTGGGTTGTAATAAAAGTTTATATCAGGGACAGAAGTATAATGCATATTTTATGCAGTGTAACCTACCCAGAGATTTTCAGATAGGTGAAAGTAGGGCTTTCACAATTAAGTCCAAAATTTCTATTGCTTAAGCGAGATGTTTGTTAAGTGAATTTTGCCTCATTTTACGTCCTTGCTTGCCACAGCTGTTAAATCTCCGCAGTTGTTAAGTTAGTAACATGGTTAAGTGAAGTTGCTTCTCCATTGACTTTGCACATCCAAAAGTTGAAAAATGTTGACCTCAGGACACTGCAACTGTTATAAATAGGAGTCAGTTGCCAAGCATTTGAATTTTGATCACATGACCCTGAAGATGTTACAATGGTTGTTAAGTGTGGGAAATGGTCATGTCACTTTTTTCATTGCCACTGTAATTTCGGTCACTAAATGGACTGTTGTTGAGAACTATCTGTATTCAAATAAATAACGAAAGCAGCATTTGGGAAATGTAAATGTAAAGCAATACAATGATGGCCTTTTGACAATCAAAATTAATTCTCTCTCGTATAGTATGCTTGTTTGTGAGTGAGAATGTTGGGTGAACCTAATCATTATTTGTAACCATGATAAAATGAACCATTGTTAGATATGTTGTAGGACCACAGCCACAATACTGACTGGGTGGGGGAAAGCATTACTTCTCACTTCTGAACAAATGGAAAACACCTGGCCAATGTTAGCATTATTTTAGCCTGCTTCAGTGATTATAGTGGAGCAGAAGTGACAACTATGCTATGTTTACATATGACTGGCAGCTGGCTTGCCCTTCATTTTAAAAGCAATTTCATATATTATTTTTCTTTTGGGAAAAAAGATTAAAAAAAACATATCTATAGCTATATAGAAGACAAAGAATTCAATGCCGAAATTAGCAAGGAATAATTTTAAAAAAGTGATACCCATGCATTGTTTCCCTAACAACTGTGAATACCATAATGTTCACAAAGAATCGAAGAGCCCAAGTGGGTAGAAATAAGCAACTTTGATACAAGGGACAACTTCAAACAGCACTGGGCTGCAACCTGCAACTTATTTCTTGTTCAGTGGGCTATTTCTGACTATAAATAATTGGTCCTATGTAAGACTAGACATTCTTTAAATATACAAATACCTGGCTCCTTGTAGTTTTCCTTTCTTCCTTTAAAGGTTAAAGGTCTAGGGTCTACCTTGAGTTCCAAGAATGCCATTTCGTTTTGCATGGATAAGCTTTAGCCTTTTGTCCCAAATTATCTAAAATATAATCAATACCTTCTTTCTGGAAGGTAGGCCTTTCTTTCTCAGACTCCCTGTTCAATGCATCTTGGCAAACCCTATGTCTTAATATCTGCATGCCAAAAAGCGGCATTAATCGATGAAGCATAACAGTTGCAACCGGATAATTTAGGCCACAGCTGGAAATGCATTACTCAAGTAGGCAAGGGATAAGTTTGGGCATCCTCAATGAAGCTACCAGTATCTTCTTTCATTGTGAAAAGCCAGATAAAATTCTAGATCACACAGGAAGAGTAGCTTGACAAAATATTGGGGAAGAAAGGAGATAGGAACAAAATGTTGTTTTTCAAAGTTAAAACACAAAAGGGCATCAGTTTTTGAATGAAAAAATAAATTGACCTGGTTGAATTTGAAGCTTAGGCCATATGGTCTCTCTCTACATATAGTGTTTTCTCCTTAATTAGGGCCATTAGCAACTGGTGAAATTATCAGAAAGACGTGGATGTTACATGCAAGTAAGGCATGCAACTTGTTTCCACAATGGACTCATCAAGCTGCTATCCAATGAACTTGTTAAGTTTGCATCTCACACATGCTTTTGTGTGCCCCCATTCAAAAACCTCAACGGCCCTTAAAGATTAAAAAAAAGAAGGCAGGAAAACAAACCACTTCTGAGTATAAACCATCATTTCCCCAAGCATGTCATTTTCTTATCTTTATCTCTTAGCCATCTCTTCTCATTCATGAAAACTCCAATTGTTGAATGATATTTTTTGGAGACACACCTTTTTCCCTCAAAAAAGAGGCTGAAAATCTGGGTGCATCTTATACACTGAATACAGCATTTTGTTGCCTCCTGAAACCTTGCCCCCTTCACCAAAATGGCTGTCCAAAATGGCAGCTTCCAGATTGCTTCTGGGGGCTGGGGAGGCAGAAATGAGTGAAAAATGGGCCATTTTATGTTCAATTTTGCCGCCCCTCCCAGCCCCCAGGAGCACCCTATAAGCCTCCTAAAGGCATGCATGGAATTACTCGTATCTGGAGTGTAAATGCCAACAACCCTGCCTGGCAGTCATATACTGCCATTTTGGTCATTTTTGGACGGCCCCTCGCCAGGAGCACTCTACGAGCCTCCTAAAGCCTATTCATGACTCTTTTTTTGGGGGGGGGGCATTTTCACAAAAAAACAGGCCGTTTTTGGGAGGTCTGCAGAGTGCAAACCTTTTTTTTTAATTTGCCTCTTCAAAATCTTGATGCGCCTTATACTCTGAAAAATATGGTAGCCATGACAAAATGAAGTGTTCTATGGAAGCAGTTGGCTTTCCCTTCCTGCTATCACTGTTTTCTGTAGCAGGAACTGAATCTTCAGCCTTGTTCCTTTTAGTGAAGCAGATAATATATTGCACTTGGGCATGTTGCCAGTAGATACCTGTACAGGTGCAGAGCTGTGATGTAGCCACACCTGCCCTCCAGATACAATTAGAAGGTGAAGCATTTCACAGTAAGGGATCAAATACCTCCAAAAACCCAAGAAAGAAGGTAAGAACAGCAAACACTCAAGACAGACAAATTGCAAGTTTTCAAGATATCACTGGGTCACACTATTAAGTTTTTAAAACATTAAATTTACTAACATAAATAGTGTTTATAACAAAAGGCACAGTCTTTTTTCTTTTCTTCTCAGCTATAAACAATGGAAAATATTTACAATTTGCACAATTGGTCTTTTCAGGATTATTTTTCTTTTTCTTTCTTTTGTTTGTTAAAAAGGTTATCTTTTTTTCCCTCCCTCTTCCTCAATACTTTATTAAAACTTTCCCAACTGGATTTCTTCTTCCCCTCAAAAAGGGGCCCATTTTACAAACAGCAGATTATAAAGCCCATTAACAACAATAATTTATCAATGGAAATTATTTTTTTCTCTGTCTCTCAGATGATAACAGTATTACTAACTTCTTCATACTGGATAACAAAATAAGGGTAACTCTGGTCATCGTTAAAAATGACAAAAATCTGTGGTTCAAAGTAGTTGTCCACACAGGAATCATACAGATCACTGGTGATGCTGGCAGGGTTCACAGGTGGAGGTCTTCTCATGGTGTGGTTCCCTACGGTGTATTTTCCGGTCAGTACTTTTGCCAAAAACATGTAGTGGATTCCTTTGGATGACCGCTTGGAGAAATTATGGGAGTAGCTGGCTTTCCGAGCAAAGTAGCTTCCTTGCCCGAACATGGTGGCGTGTTTCCCACATACCCGAGGGTCAAAGTTGTGCTTGCAGATCCCATCTACCACGTCTTGGGAGGTCCCATGGAACAAGTGTCTTTCATTCATAATCTTGTCTAAGCCGGTCATTTTTTTAGACATGTATTCTTTTTTCCTGGAAATGAAATAGACACACATATGAGTTTTATTTTTTTAAATTCCTAAAAGTTAAAGTCTGCCCAAAGGAACTTTAAAAAGAACAAGGCATTTAGTAGACCCTGGAGTTTGAGTGGTATGTCTTTGCCTGAAATAACCTCCAAAGCTGTCCTGGGTGGCTTGCTTCCCACACTGGGGCTCTTTATCCTTAACAACATTGCCAATACTTATCCTGCTTCTTTTGTGCCTGTTTTGACTCATTGCCAAATGGTATTGCCTGATCTTTGCACACCCAGAGTGTGAAAAACCAAAGAAATTGGTTGATTCCACCAGTTTTCTCTACTGAATGGCACATGCCAACAAGACCAATCATAGCCTTGCAGCAAGAATGATTACTCCTGTACTTGCCAGGACTAAGCTGTTTCCCAGGCTTCTCTTTCTACCTCCTATTCGGTCATCACCCGAGTTAAACACAATTAAGGAAGTTAAAATTCAAAGCATCACAACTTCTTCTTCGGGAGGGATCAGAGCAGTTACACTGCATCTGTTTGAGAGGTCTAGCACCACTGCACAGTTCTCCTAGATCCCCAACATAGCACAACTATTTAGGGAAGGAAAATGGCACCAAATATGGCAGCCTTGGGTTAAAGGGAAGTGTGGGCTTACTTAATGGGTAAGTAAGTAGGTGTAAGACTTTACATCCTTTGCAGCCTCTGTAAACACTCTTCAGTCTAAGAGGGAAACATTACTTTTATATTAGTACATCTTAAGATGGTGTATAGGTAATCGTCACTTAATGACCTAGTGTTTTAAGACCATGCAAAGTTATGATGGCCATGGATTGAGTGTTTCACGGCCCATAAGAGACTTTAGCCATCATAAATGATCAGGCTGCTCCCCTACATTCACATGACTGCAGGTCAGGCAGGTCAGTTTACAACCGGCCATGGCTTTCTGTGGTTATGTGACTGATTCATGTTGTGTTTTGACGGTTTCTATAAAAAAGGCTTATTCAAATAAAGGTGTTTGCTTAACATCCACGTTTACTTAATGATACCTGCAAAAAAAGGCAGAAAATTACTTCTGGTCATGTGGGTGCCTTGACTTATGATCACAAGGACTGTAATTCCAGGCTGAATTACAGTCATAAGATGAGGACTACTTGTAGACCTGCCTTACTTATAGGCTGGGAATGAGATGGAGGCAACGTCATTTAGACACGGCAGAAAAAAAAACAATGCCAGGCCATGCTTGTACCATGCTTAAATGAAACTGGGGAATCGCTCTAGTAATACACAACCCAATTATAAAATGCAGGCAAAAGTAGCATTGCAAAATCCACTCCTGGGTCTACCACCTGCCTTTCTGTTCTTCTTATGGGGAGCATTAATCCTGAGAAAACTTACATGTAGTCAAATGTAACTAAAGATTTAGAAAACACAGTTATAAGTTGCTAATCTGTACCATTTCAGAGGGAAAGATGGAAAGTAGAATACTTGACTATACCAGGGGTCGGCAACCTTAAACACTCAAAGAGCCACAAAGGTCCTAAATGGAAGCCCCCCCCCCCGTTCAATTATGGAGCCGATCGGAAGTCCAGTTCTCCCACCATGCTGACCCCTGGGCTATACCATAACATTAGCAATACTTTTTTTTTAATGCTAGCTTAGAAATCCCTCCCTCCCAATTCCCAGAGGATACTTTTTCTATCAGCATACAGTACAATATAGAGAGATATTCTGGGAAAAGAAAGCAAATAAAATTTGATTTTGTAGCTCTGTTGGTGGGATCTACCACTGGGATTTCTGCTCTTCTCAGTTTGGGTTAGAAGCTAAAATATAGTGCCAACTTAACAAAGTGAGAGAAGCCAGGAAGCTCTATTCATATTCAATCAGGCCAAACAAAACAGCTGTTCATCACCAAGGCTGGTGCTTCAACAAAAGGCCTCTTTCATAAGTTGAAAAAGAGATGCAGGTTTTAGTTCAGAGGGTGGCTTTCAGCAAAGCAGGAGGCGCTTTTTCTGTCTAGGCTGCACTCCTTCTGAACAATTTATACACAACAACGGCCATGCCTGATATTTCTCAACAGACAGCTGTTGCCTGCAATGCTCCTCTCACTCCAATGTAGCTGAAGTTTCTTGTTTGTGTTTCTAAGGACAAGCTTTTCACCGACATCTAGGCCAATGGCATGTAAGGTGGTGCAGCAACTGGCCACTTTAAGAAGCAAGATTTGTTTAATGTATATGCCTCCTTTGTTATTTTTATACATAACTCAAGGCAGAGATTATATCCAACACATTTTCCTCTTCCTCGTTTCCTCCCAAACAACAACCCTGGGTGAGATAAGTGGGGATGATAGTGTGTTTGTGTGTGTGTGATATCTAATGTCACCTAGTAGGTTTCATGAGTAAGGCAGGGCTAAAACTCACAGACTTCCCCTTCTTAGCCTGGTACCTTAACCACTAGACCATGCTGGCTCTCTTGCTGAAGGCATTGGAAGTAAAAACAAATAATGCTTTTCCAAGAGATGTCACTATAATTGTCCCACCTCTCCAAAAACCGTGAAATAACGGAGTTAACAGGAGATTATTTATCTGATCTTGACTCACCTCTTGTACTTCTCCCACAAAAATTGGTTCTGAACTCGCAGTATTTTCAAGATTTTATATTTGGTCTCGGGCACAGTCTTATGAAAGAGATTATAAATGGTTCTGTAGCTTTTGTCTTCTTTTGAAACAGGCACTTGGATAAAGTCCTGAGCCGGGTCCATGTTAATCCATGTTTCTGGATAGAAACCGGGAAAGGTAACAGCATTTTGGAATAAAACTGGTGATGGGATAGATTCCGTCACTGGCACTGCCAGGCTGCCACTAAGTGTCCTGGAGAAATTGGGAGAGAAATGGAAGAAAAGGATTCAATAGGATAATCTGTAACATCTGTAAACTCCTTTTTTTTTGGGGGGGGGGGTGTTTCTCCATAATTTTTTTTTATACGTGGAAAGGGATGCTAGAAGAAAAAAAAGAAACATTGCTCTAACCTCTCACCGTGATGCTGAACTTTTTGGTCTTCTAATACGTTAGTGATCTTTTTCAGTTTTTTGTTATCTGAACTTTGATAAGCATCTCTTCATTGAGGTTATTAATGAAAATACTTAAAGACTGTTGTGTCTTGAACTAAACCACAAGGCATAACGGTTTGATGAAGAATCCCTGATGGCTTATCTTTAGTACAGCTTTCAAGTTGGCTATGAACCCAATCAATAAATATAATCTCCATCTCATGCTTGCTAAACCATGTCATGACGACTTTATCAGATGTTTTCCTGAAATCTAGATGTATTATCTCCACAGCTTTCCTTCAACTAAGGAAGTTCTCCAATTTGAAAATAAGATTTATTCCCAAGAAATCCATGCTGAATTCTTAACAATCTCTATCATTTTCAAGGAGGTGCTTACAGATCTCTCTCTTTCATGATCTATTCTAGAATTTTCCCATATAGTAATGTCAGACTGACTGATGGTCTGTGTCTTGTTTCCTTCCTTTTCTCATTTCACAAGACAGGAATATATTTTCCTTTCCTAGATTTGTGTTATTATGAACTCTGTTGATGTTCCTTTTATAGATTTTGGCCAGATTACTTCTGTATCCTAGAATGCAAAAACTCTGACCCAGAAAGTATTGACTCATTTAGATCAGTACATATTCTCACTTATATTTCCGTTGAGCTCAAGATGAGACAGATTCTGTTCCTTTAACCAGGATTTCCTAACTGCTTGGTAGAATGCATATTTCTTACACAAGATGATATCTGAAGAAATACTTAGTTGTTCTTAATGTGTTTCTTAAGGGTACCTTATATCTGAATTTTAGTTATCTTGACCCCATTTCTACCAATTTGGGTTAGTTGCACAATGTTGTCTTTGCTGACCTATTCTTTTTTTCTAACTCCTTTATATCGCATGCACATAAACACAAAGGTTTGGTTTTTCAGATTTTCTTTTACATCATTTTCTTCCACTGTAGTTGCTATAATTATCCACAATTGAGTTTTTAGTTATTTTTGGGAATTCCCATTCCTACCCATCTTGCCTTTATCCATTCCTTTTGCTATCATATAATCCTATTAATCCTTGTTCTGATCTGTGCATATTAAAATTTGTGCCTTTAATTGCATTCTGCATTAGTGTCCCATCCTAAATGAATTTCAGCATTCATTGGCCACTTTTGCTCAAATTCACATTCTTTAGTAGCTCTTCTCTATTGGTTAAGGTCAAACAAAAGAATGGCTAATCTCTCTTGTCCCCCAGAAAAAGAAAGGTCAGGAATTTCCTGGAAGTAGAGGGCTTGGCAGAGTTTGTCTCCCAACAAATGCTGCAGTAATTAAAAAAAAACCATCACAACTAATTGATGCTTGGTGAAAGATCAGCAATTTGCTCTTTAAAAATAACCACATTTTCTCTTTGGTTGGATGATCAATGGTAGACACCAACAATGAAACTATTTTTATTCCATTTATTTTAAATCCGATGCTCTCAATAGAGAGCTATAAACAGTATATGTGCTGAACTACGGCAATTTCAAATGCCTATTAACTAGCTCTTAGAAAGCAAATAATGCACCCAGAAAGAGCTAGATCCAGATGAGGTCAATTCCATTTTTGTCCTTTCAAAGTCAGTGCAGTTCATGCTAAATATAAATAGTTTTTCAAAGGAATTTAAAGGGAACTTGAGTGCAAATTTGACTGGGTCTGGCCAACGGTGTTAAAAACAAAGCCATCCATAAAAATTAAGATTCAATTCCAAAACAAGTGTCAAAATATGGATGGCTGTGTTTCCAGAAAGAAATATTTGCATGTTGCTCACTTCTGCATTGAATTATTCAGCAGTCCAACCTGCCTTGTTCCCATCAAAACAGAACCAACTTTAAAAACAGCCGAGAACTGGAAAGTGACTTGAAAATGGAAAGTAACTTCCTTGAAGAAAAAGGGCTGCTCAAATAATGATTTTTTACTTATTAAAATTAAATATTTACAAGTTTTTTAAATCATTTGTGGCTGCATGCTTTTGTCAATTTAGCAAAAGCAAATTGTGTAAGGCTAGTGCAATTCCACCCTTATTAAAATAAACATTATGTTCAAGCTAGTTTGTTGCTTTTAGCATAAGTGAAAGCTGTGCCCCTTGTACAATCCCATCGGATTAGTAGCTAGTCAAAGGAGCAGAATCATTTGAATAGAGAGGATTAATAGAAATCCAATAGAAAAAAAGAGGGGAAAAACAGGAGCATATTTCAGTTCAGTGTTTCCACAACAGAAACCAATGCAATCAGTATCTACAGTTAAAAGGAAGACATTTGAGTAGATGACTGCCAGGCAGAGTTGTTGGCATTTACGAGTAATTCCATTGCTAAGCAATGTGGTCATAAGGCGTAATATCCCATGATCATACCAACTTACGACAGCAGTTCAGGCTGCCCCAGTTGCTGTCATTAGGTGAATTTTGCATGGTTGCCCTGTCTTGCACTCAAGCGATCTGTGACCTCCTGCTGGCTTTTCCATTAGTTTTGTTTGTTGGAAGCTGGCAGTGCAGATAGCAAATGCCAGTTCATGGGACTGTGCAATGCTGTGGTGTCATAATTGTGAAGTTGCAATCCTATGACTGTACGGATACTGCAATGGCCACAACTGCAAGGACTGTTCGTTCAGTGCCATCGTAACTTGGAATAGTCACTGAATGAGTAAACCTTGAATGAGGACTACCTGTGGTATCAGAAGAACATCTAACAAAGCCACTGTCTGTTTTTATTATGTTGTGTATGTGTTTGTACTTGCATGATGGACAAATAGATAGTTTATTTGTGCAGTCTTGGTTTTACAAAAACAAAGAATTGGTTAACACTATGACTGAGACCCCCCCCCCCACCCATTAAAGCTACATAATCAATTTACAGATTACAAATTAACAGAGTTGAAAGGGACTTTGTAGGTCATCTAGTACCACTCCCCGCCTAAGCAGGAGACCCTACACCATTTCTGACAAATGTTAGTCAAATCTCTTCTTGAAAGCCTTCAGTAATAAAGCTCCCCCAGCTTCCGAAGGCAAGCAATGGTTGACTGTTCTCACTGTCAGAAAATTTCTCCTGATTCCTAGGTTGAATCTCTCCTTGATCAATTTCCATCCATTATACTTAGTCTAGCCTTCGG